CTTTGACTTTCAGGCGATTTTCGTTGCAATGAATAGGTTTGGACGCACATTGTTGCGAAAACGAATCTCAATGGGATGAACAGCCTGCCGGCTGCTCTCTCAGCCTCCCTGACCCACATCAGCCGACACACACGACCGTGAACGACATCAGTTGACACACACGACTGTGGACCGCATCAGTCGACACACGACTGTGAACCGCATCAGTCGACACACGACTGTGAACCACATCAGCCGACACTCACGACTGTGGACGGCATCAGTCGACACACACGACTGAGGACTGCATCAGTTGACACACGTGACTGTGAACCACATCAGTTGACACAGACGACTGTGGACCACATCAGTCGATACGCGCCACTGTGAACCACATCAGTCGACACACGACTGTGAACCACATCAGCCGACACTCACGACTGTGGACGGCATCAGTCGACACACACGACTGTGGACCACATCAGTCGATACGCGCCACTGCGAACCGCATCAGTCGACACACGACTGTGAACCGCATCAGTCGACACACGACTGTGAACCGCATCAGTCAGCACACGACTGCGGACGGCATCAGTGGACACACACGGCTGTGAACCACATCAGGCGACACACACGACTGCGAACCGCATCAGTCGACACACAACTGTGGACGGCATCAGTCTACACACGACTGTGGACCGCATCAGTCAACGCACATGACTGTGAACCACATCAGTCGACACACGACTGTGAACCGCATCAGTCGACACACGACTGTGGACAGCATCAGTCTACACACGACTGTGAACCGCATCAGTCGACACACACCACGGGTCGAACTGACCGTTTATGCTCTACCCTCCGCTCCTGGACGGCGGATTACAAACACTGCTGCCTCGCCGGTGAACAAGTCATTCATCGCCTGCTGCCATTATAGCATGCACACAAACCTGGACTTGGCAGTCTTTTAAATTGGCAGCCCTTCCAGTCGCGTATTTTATATTGGTGGTTCTTCCCGTCTGGTTTGCGACATGGGATGCCGTATTGCATTACTACCTGTGGATTGGCGGCGCCCTAGTCATTCGCAGTTATGAATGCGTCTTCCTGGCACGGAATGCATTTCTGGCAGCCTGAATGGCAATTCTGCCTCTGCGTCATTGACCTCCTCACTGCCCTCCTGGGTATTATTCATCTTCATCCCGCTTGTGCCACCCCATTGCAATGAGGGCAGCTGCCTCCCGTGTATCTGAAGCTTATTTTATTACAAAAACAAAGCTTCCCTACAGCTTTCAAGCTTGCGCATGCCGTTCTCCTGCATAATTTTGACCGTCGGGATAAGGCCAGTGATTTTAGACCCATCCCTACCTTGGCAGCTTTATCCACACTGTGGAAAGATTGTGTGCACTTGGATGTCCTCATATCTCGTTACCAACCGTATTTTAACGCGCTCACAGTATGCACATCAATATCATTCGATGAAGAACGCCCTGATCAACTCTGTCGAAGAGATCGAGCGCGATATCGACGTTTCGAATATCCTTGCCGTTACATCAATCGACCCCAGGCTTGCCTTCGATAGTTTTTGTCATGACGTCTTTCTGACCTAGCTGAAATGGTGTGGTATCGACCCGAGACGGTTCAAGGGCTAGCTACCTTCGTGACTAGTGGCAGGTGATGCCAAATATATCCTTATTGCTCTCGCTGTCCCACAGTGCTCCGGGGCAGGGGTCGACGGTCGGCCCAGTCCTCTTCAGCATCTTCACAAACGAACTATTTTTCTTCCTACGTCACGAACGGACGCTAAGCATCCTTTGCCCATATTGCCCATCGGCTAGACTCAGATGCCTGTACTATTTGAACCTAAAAAAAACTGACAGGAGAGCCTTCTCACCGGCCAATCTCATCACACTTGTCGACCCTAGAAAACACACCTTCTTCCGTATTCACATGTTCGTCCACAAACTAACCTTATCTCCCTCTGTAAATACACCAGGAGTGGCTGTCGACCGCTTTCTATTCTGGAAACAGCACATCTTGCATCAGCACATCAACATGACCAAACAGTATAATTTAATCCACCCGTAATGATGCGATGCCATGTTTTTAATGGCATCGCACCCTTTTTAATCCCAGGTGCGATGCCATGTTTTCCCACATATCCTGCCCTGGCTCTCAGTCGGGGGCGACTCTGCTGCATGTTAACTTGCACAGGGTGAAGAAAGGATGCAGTAATTTTGTACTGGAAAGGATGAAGCAATAAGTTAAAACTGCAACTCGATTTTGAAAAGGTCGCGTTTCTGTCCGCATGTCTGAAATTGTCAACTCTGAGATCGTATCTCACCAACCGTTAGCGCGCTAGTTTTGCGCCACGTGTTTCACCTGGTTACCCACTGTGATCGCATCGGCATGTTCTAAGCGCTGAGAGGATCCGCAAGGTGCTGGAATCTGATCCGATTAGATCAGATCAGATCAGATCAGATCAGATCAGATCAGATCCAATCCGATCAGATCCGGCCCACCAGATCGGATCAGATCCGGCCCACCAGATGAGATCCGATCATACCCGATCAGATCAGATCAGATCAGATCAAATCCAATCCGACCCGGCCCAATCAGAACAGATCAGATCAGATCAGATCAGATCAGATCAGATCAGAACCGACCCGATCAGATCAGATCAGATCAGATCAGATCCGGTCCGATCGTTGTTCGTCACGCGTACCGCTGCGTCACATCACGCAGCGGTACGTGCGACGTGCTAACGTCACCTGGCTGACGTTCGCAGACATGCTGGAGCTGCCAGCTTTTCGTCTGCAAACGTCGCGTTATCGGCGTGCTGTCCACCTGGGGAGCCTCGTGACTGAGCTGCATGCCGCCGGCCATCAATGGCTATGGGGCAGTAACTGAGCTGACCCCAACACTATGAAGCCTGCTTTCAAAACCTGCGTCGCACGGTGCATTTTTATCTCCGTGAACTGTTACTATATGTATGTTTGGTTATACTGCTTATAAGGAATGCTTTGACAGTTACCGTTCGACTTAAGAGCATGTCGGCAAATGGGAATTCGGCAGATAACGAGTTTATCTAAGTTCCATTTTGTAAATTTTGCATGTCGGTGCAAAGGCATGTTGAACAATTTGATTTTGCCTTTTAGCATTTCGCCAGATTAATATGGCGGCAAAAAGACGGTTCGAAGAAATAGCGTTCGGTTAATTACATTCGACAAAACAGTATTTGGCTAACAACATTGCGTTCATTTGTTCAGATACGTATTACATGCGCATTTAATTTGGTACCAAACCTGAAATGCATGAAAATGTATTTTAACAAGAAGGAAACCCATCGTTTGTTTCAAGTGTATAAAAATAGAAAGTGAATTTCGCCGCGGAACCGTTCTTGTTTCTCCACCATGCACCTGAAAGGGACAAAGTCATATCAAAACAGGGTACAACGGACAAAAATCATGAAACAAGTACCGGTTACGTGAGAAGATAACACATCACATGGCACTTAACGATAAATGGTGAAAATATTGCACGATATGGAAGTTCAGAACAATCTTTCGCCAGGTGTGACACCGTTAAAAATGCTTTCGGTCAGATCCCTTGAACCATAAGGAGGAAAACAAGCCTCGCCTTTATGTGCATTTCGACTTAGGCAGCGCATCGATCATGGATTGAATGGATCCTGGTCGCCGTAATGCCGGACAATACCATGTCGCGAACAGTTTCGTCTGGGAGAAAAAATCATTACTGGGTTCGGAGAAGTGTGGTTATTGTGTCTGATGATAGTGTGCTCAGCCACATGCACTTGAAACAAAAGCAGCCGCACCGGAAAATAAACGCGCTCAGGTACCTAGTCAGGGAGCCCATGTGACCACACATCGTATCATTCGATCTTGTCCAGGACATCGTGATCGACGCTGTCAAAAGTTTTAATTGAATCTAGTGTCGTCAACCACACTATGTCACCCGCGTCGGTAGCCTCTGGGATCCACTCGACAGCGTCGGTCAGTGGGTTCTCAGTGAGATGAGTGATTCGGTAGCGTAAGTCGCATGCAAACAGCCTTTTCCGTGTTTTTTTTTCACAAAACGGACAGGTTAAGTCGAAAGTTACTGAAATCGGACCGGTCTCCAAGCTTGCGAATTGGTATAAAGCCAGCTAATTTTCCAGGCACTGGGAGGCATGCATGTGGCTACAGATATGTTATGGACATTGCGAAGATAATGCCGAACAGCAACAAAGCACTACTTCACGGCATGGAGAGGGACTGTTGGTGCCGACGGCCTTTGACGAGCCCACGCATTCGATGGCCTTCGACAGTTTGGACAGAGTTACAGGGCGCAAATCGAGGACTCGTGAACACACCCGGAGTATCCTGGACCCCAGCAAGCTCGGAATGGTGGTGCGTCCCACCTCCGCAGCGATGCGTGGCCCCACGAACACAGCAGGCTTGCCGAGTGCGTCAGCTCGGTCACTGAGCAGGACGCCCGTGCGTCAAAGAGCAGGGTGCCCGCGGTTCAGCGAGCAGTGATATCCGGCCGCTTCCGTCATCTGGTGTATCGCACACGGACTTCCGGCGTCTGTTTCGCATAGCAATGGGCTATCGGTGGTTGCGTATTACCAGACTTCATTCAACACGTCAGCAAGTCAAAGCCTTGGATGTGCTTTAGTGTGCATACTTCATTGTCTCGCGGTGCAGCGGGCGTGCACGGGTTTGCTAACTTGTGTTAGTGCTGATAAATAAAAACCCATGTGCCCGTCAATGAGAAGTGGGCCAGTGTGTACGAGTTCAATAATACCCAGTGTCTAGATACAGATCGGTTCAACAATGCAGTGATGCACTCAGCGTAAAACCAGCACCCGTCGCCTGTGCCTCCGATCTCCGTAATGGCACGCCTGTCCATTTGCATTGTAAATAGCTTTACGTGTCTGTTGGGCTCTAAATGTGTTTTCGTTTGGGCCATACTGCCTGCGGACCTCAGCAGCAAACCATCCTAACAGGGATTTTCCATTCCAGGAACACCAGAGGCATAAGATGGCACGCCAGCTCAGCTGATCGCCGTTGTAGAACCTGAGGGAGGTCGTCGCACCGTCTCTGGACCGTCCCGCTAAGGCTCGCTCACCGCGAGAGCACGCTCCCTGGGAGGCGACAGTGGTACGCGTTGGGTGCCCTCTTGCGCCAACGGCTACATAAGCCGCGGCTTGCCGTCGTCCTGTGCTGTGACCGTCCTGCTGTGCCAGTCGGCGGGGACTGCCGTGTGCGCAGCACCGGAACTGAGCGCTACGGCGTCGGCCGTGGCTGCCGGCCGGACTCCCAGCTCTGAGGCGCGGCGCTAGTCCGCGGTGCTGCGCCAGTCAACGGTGCTGCTCCAGTCTGCGGTGCTGCGCCAGTCTACAGCGCGACGCCAGTCTATGGCGCGGCGCCAGTGTGCGGTGCTGGGCTAGTCTACAGTGTGACGCCAGTCTGCGGTGCTGCGCCAGTCTGCGGTGCTGCGCCAGTCCGCGGCGCGGCGCCAGTCTACGGCGCGACGCCAGTCTGCGGTGCTGCACCAGTCCGTGGCGCAGCGCCAGTCTGCGGCACGGCGGCAGCCTGCTGCACAGCGGCAGTGTGCGGCGCGCCATCGGCACGGATAACCGGTGCCGATCTGAGTGGTCGCGCTCCTCAGCGGGGCAGCGTTGCTGATCGCGATGAGCCGGGAGTGACGCTGCCCGCTGGACATCATGTTTCCGCTTCCACTGCTGCTGGTCATCGCCGGGTGGGCACTGGCCGCCGCCCAGCCCTCAGCCAACGCCACTGCCCACCAGCAGCGCTGCACTAAGGGCCTCATCCTACCTGTCTGGGAGCCACAGGAAAATGTCAGCGGCGGCGACATGTTTGCGCGCGCGCTTGTCTACTTCCTGTCGCTCATCTACCTCTTCATCGGCGTGTCCATAGTGGCAGACCGCTTCATGGCCTCCATCGAAGTCATCACATCGAAGGAGAAGGAGGTCACCGTCAAGAAGCCCAACGGCGAGACACAGATTATCGTGGTACGCGTGTGGAATGAGACGGTGGCAAATCTGACGCTGATGGCGCTGGGCTCCTCCGCGCCGGAAGATCCTCCTTTCCATCATCGAAATATACGCCAAAAACTTCGAGTCGGGTGACATCGGACCCGGCACTATCGTCGGTAGCGCCGCCTTCAACCTGTTCGTCATCATATCCCTCTGCGTGTATGTTATCCCGGACGGTGAGGTGCGCAAGATCAAACACTTGCGCGTGTTCTTTGTGACGGCCACCTGGTCGGTGTTCGCGTACGTCTGGATGTACCTGATTCTGGCCGTCATCAGTGAGGGCGTGGTGGAGATCTGGGAGGCGCTGCTGACGCTTCTCTTCTTCCCCGCCACCGTGGTCACGGCATACATCGCCGATCGGCGCATGCTCTTCTATAAGTACATGAAAAGGGACTATCGTATCAACAAGCGTGGTGTCATCGTCGAGCACGAAGGCCTGGAGCTGGAGAAGGCCAATCATACCCAAGATGCAGACCTGAAACAGCTGGAGGAGGAATACGTGGATGAAGCCGTCAAGGAGTTTGAAGAGAACCGACGGGAGTACATCCGTATACTGCGCGAACTGCGCAAGAAGCACCCCAGTATCGACATGGATCACTTGGAGTTGATGGCGCGCGAGGAGGTGCTCAACAAGGGTCCAAAGTCGCGCGCCTTCTACCGTATCCAGGCCACGCGTAAGCTGACGGGCGGGGGTAACCTGATGCGACGCTCGCTGCTGGCCGAGCGGAGGGAGGGCACCATCGACATTGACGAGTTCAAGAGCGAGGACGATCACGTCATCAAGGTGTCCTTCGATCCGGGCCACTATACAGTGATGGAGAGCATCGGCGACTTCGAGGTGACTGTGAAGCGAGAGGGCGGCGACCCAAACCAGTGCCTGCTGGTGGACTACCGCACGGAGGACGGGTCGGCCAACGCTGGCAGCGACTACATCGCCGTCGCCGGCACGCTCTTCTTCGCACCCGGAGAGAGCGTCAAGTCACTGGGCGTGGTCGTCATCGACGACGACCTGTTCGAGGAGGACGAACACTTCTACGTGAAGCTGTGCAATCTACGACTGGCGGACCCCGACGGCGCGCCCCTAAGGACGCACGTGAATGGCAGCACCGGCCACCCGCTGGCCGCGACCCACCTGAAGCTGGTGGCTCCGTTCGTGGCCACCGTAATGATTCTCGACGATGACCACGGGGGCATCTTTTCCGTGTCGGAGAAAGACATTGAAATCGTTGAGTCGGTGGGCATGTACTCTCTGAAGGTGTGCCGCTGGTCGGGTGCTCGCGGCCGGGTTGCCGTGCCCTACACGACCGTTGAGGGCACGGCCAAGCCCGGCAAGGACTACCGACACTGCGAGGGCGAAGTCGTCTTCGAGAACAACGAGACCGAGTAAGTGGCGTCGGAGCTTCCCAGACCATCCTTACGTGCGCAGTCTTTTTTGTGGACTTTTTTGCGCTTTTTGAAGTGGACCAGTGGTTGTTCGTGATGGGACTGGAGCTATTGATTATCGAGACGGGGCCGGCGGGCCCAACCTCCCCGCCGACCTGTTTACAGCCAGACACGACAGCCCGCTGCTTGACCTCACTCCGTTCCCCGAAGCGGTTGCGGTATGAATACTGACGCAGACCAGCTGTAATGCAGTTTAGGCCGCGTTCGCGGCGCTCGAAAATTGCCAAGGTGTACGAAAATGCTTTCGTTTCCGACAACATTCTGCAGACGAACGCACTGTTGGTGCCTCCCACGTAACGGAGTCATTAACATACATACAACATACAACATAACATACAGCAGCAGATCCACACATAGATACTTCGGTTCCAGTAACGTCACTGCTCAGTTCCAGTAACGTCATTGCTATTGCAGGCCCAAGCAACACATTGTGTTGCACGTCATAGAATGACGTGTGAGGACGCCGCGGAAAACGGTTGTAGTTCCCCATCCGCATTTTCTGATGCTGCAGACGCGGTGGTAATGCTACCGGCAACGCAGATATGTTGCTACCAGGTATTTTATTTAGCATATTACTGACGTGATCGGTTAATATGGCGTGTCAATGCGTCTGAAGCAGCGACCCGCTGTTATCCCAGGGGCAGATTATGCGTGGCAGTAATGATACTGCGTCGTTCATATCCTCCCTCTGCCACAAAAAGAATGTCAGCGATGCTAGTAATTACCCTGGCGTACATGTCCAGCTGGTGCTCACCTTTCCATGAAGGCAAATACCAGGCAAGAGCAAATACCGGCAAGACATAGTCGATGGTGTTCGATACGAGGAACTCACGCTGCCACGCATCAATACCGTACCACGCTACCACGTATACCATTCCCGAAGGAATCACGCTATGCGTGATTCCGAAAATTCGCGTCATATGTGACAACTTAGTCCCCTCTGACAGTTAAACCTTCGACGCTGTAGAAATGGATAGATAACCGGCCGTCCATTGCTTAGAGAATTTGTGCCGGCGTTCTCCAGATACGAATGTTTCGGTGGCCATAATGTTCTCGGCTATGATTATAATACGGTGGGAACTTCCGCTTCACGTTACTGTGAACCCATGCATGTCTGGGTGACTTGCAAATAAGCGGCGCGAAGTAGGCTGCACAAGTTGCTAAAGCCCGCAGACTGAAACCCGTTTGCCCGCTTAAACGGAACACAACCGGGTCAACGTCATGTGCGACTGATTGAAAGTGGTTGGAAAGTGGTCTGTACCCTACAACTTTTACGGAATTTGCTTGATCTGCTCCTCCAACAAATGTTACGTATTTATCGCATGCCTTTTGTCTGGCAGCTGTCTCAGTTCATTTAAAAAGTAAAGCTGGATGTGTCAACGGGCTTTGCTTGAGCTAGGTTTGTAGATTAGAAGACTGCGAAAAAGTAGTAGAGTTGTCTTCATTTAAGTCGAACGCACGCGATCTTAAGTTGCAAGTTAAGTTAGCATGCGCGTAATGAAATAATGGGTAGCTTCAGTAGCCAACTAGAAGTAGTAGTAGTTCAGTAGCCAACCATTGTGAGCTGGCATCACCCCAACCGACCCTTCTCTAAAGGCTGCAGCATTGAAGATAAACAGTTGCCAAGTTTGAACCCTTGAATGATCCTGAAAGCCATTTACAAATGGATAAAAGTTGACAACCACGTGGTTTCAGGGCGACTTTTTAACGTCAATAATCACTATGGATGATTGTCATACCTGCCTATAAAGGGCAACACGTCCATTAAAGGCGAGGTCCGGCTTTGATTAAAACACAGATGCATGCCGCCGGTATCGCATTCTCGCGCACATGTGCTCTGGCCGTTATCCCGTCCCGCCACGGCTTGACGAACTGCACGCCTCAGTCTGCGACCTGTGCGTGCACTGGGTACGGGGGTCATGTGGTCCGCAGTCAGCAGCTTTGGCGTTCAATGACGCCGTAAGGGATGGCTCGCTCACTGCACGCCTCGGTCTGCGACTTGTGCGTGCGCTGGGTACGGTGGTCATGTGGTACGCAGTCGGCAGCTTTGGCGTTCAATGACGCCGTGAGTGATGCTCGCTCATGAACTCTTCTTCTCATCGATAAGATCGCCGCAGTTGATAGCGTCAAAGCTGACGGGCTGGTAGAGCCGCACCTCGTCACATTCCTGATCTCGGCAGCGCACAGCCCTTGCCGCAGCTTCCTGACTGATCTTCTCGACAGTATCGGCGAGCGTGGCCAGAAGAGTGACTTTCGGTTGAGCCCAGCGGTCGCTCCGCTGGGTAGCTGATTGAACGATGCGTTTGAAGCGTTGTAGCCAAGTCTGTGAGTGGGTGGACGTTGCGGAATGCGTTTTTAGAACCGCGCTTACAGTGCAGTCAACCCTTGATCTAAAACTAAATCGGCGAGGAGCGAGCAGTCAAAGTGGCTGGTGTCTGAAGTGTGTCACTTTGTGCAGTCGTCGGCGCGTGCAAATGTTATTGTCTTGCTGCCAGTGTTAGCCATCTGGACATGTTCAAACGATCTAACTTTGTTGCCGCGAAATGGCCTGGAGTGTGTTTTTGTTCTGTATCACAGCCAGCTCATACAAAATACGTCGGTTCGTACTCAAACCTACATTAAGCTGTTAATCAAGGCCAGGCACGCGAGACGTAAGTTGGAATGGAACCTCTGGGCTTTCTTAAAAACGGCATTTTTTCTTGTGATGGATTTATTCAGTTATTTAGGGACATGTCACCACTGCATTGGCAGCAATCCCAAGCTACTAAACAGCAGGCACAACTTGAGATCGGTTAAGTGAAGGTCGCAAATGTACCCTTGCACTACTTGCGGTCATAAAGTTCAGGTGTGCTGACCATATCACTGCCATTTCGTTTGGACTGCATTTCCATTCGGTCTCTGGCCGACTATGCCACCTTCAAACTTGTCACAGCAGAACAAACGCAGCACAGAACAGCACGGCACGGCACAGCACATCGCAGTGCAGTGCAGTGCATAGGACGGAGGAAAGACTCGTTATAGAACAGGACAATGAGGACAATGGACAGTGCGAGGACAGCAAGGCAACGTGGCAAAATTCATCTAGTTGGTTGCCAGGGAGGTCAAAAGAAATGCATGCCCATGGCGCCTCTGCCCCCCCCCCCCCCCCCCCCGCCTCAGCACATGCCATACTTTTTTGCTGTTAATGCGATTCTCTTTCTAAAATGCACAAAAATGATCACACAACATGCCTTAATATAATCATCAAAAATTGCTCAAAATGGAACGCGGTTGCTGACGCTCACTTTGTCGGTGAAATGTGTGTCTGCTACAGCTAAATCGCAAACGGCTATGCCCAGGGTGTGCTCGGCAAAGAGGGGCATTGTGAATTACATTTAACTAAACCAACATGTGTAAGCGGTCGGGGTTTAACAATACGGTTTAACAATAACATTTGCGACACAAGCAAATGAAATTTTCACTTCGTCTGATAAACACATGCGTTTCACAAAAGAAAGCCGTCACAAAACAAAACAACCCATGTAACCGCGCATTTGATAGAACTGACGGGTGCGGATCCAGGAGAAACAGCGGTGAAACGCCGACGAGTGTTCAAACTAAATTTACATGTTATGCGTTCTGCTTGTGCAGCCGCTCGATGAGACCATTTCGGACGATGTACGGAATCGACCCCTGCGCGATTGTGTTCGATTTCACGCTGCGAGATGATTTGATTGATTGCAAATTGTAAAGACGTATTCTGACTAAAAAAATGTACCCGATTAATTAAGGAAAAAGACAGATCAGACCACAGTTAACCTGAAAGAATGTGCTGGGGACTTGGACGCAAAAATTGGGTGATTCTGTGATTCAGATGCAAATCAAAATTAGTCTGGGAAAAACTGCGAAAAAAATTTGAAGGACGATCTGACGACATACCGCAGCGGGTGACGATAAATGGCAAGCGATGGTTAAACGGTGTGGTGGCAATGCGGACGCTGCGTAATCGCAAGCATGCGCGGTATTGCCTAAACAACATGCTTTTGTGTTACAATATGCTGTCGCAGTGTGAAAATGTGCCACATGTGCACGTTCTCGTCTTATTTGTGTCCTCATATGCCCTGGCAACTTAAATCAGGACCACAGCAGAATGTATGCCCAGGCCTCGAGCGAGCCAGGTGATCCTGGGCAACCGGCTTTACTGGCACAAGTGCATCAGCCGGTGCCGCCGCAGTTCATTTCTTGGCCTCGCTGGAGCCAGCGTAGCCGCCGATTCCATGAAATGCAGCGTAGCAGCCTGTCTCACAAGAGTCAAAGCAACGACCGGCCCCACCACTCACCAGCCGTATCTCAAGATCTGCCATTGAAAACTGGCAAACTTGGTGTCGTGAAGGACAGTAGCCGCGGAGGCGCCGTGTAATTAGTGTGTTTAGTGAGCTAACACGATTTTTGTCTAGAACATTTCCGCGCGCCGTTAGGGTGATGCTAACGCTGCGATTTGTGGCAGGGAGGCAGTTACTATTACCCTGCCCCCTGATCTGCTGCCCCTGCACTGGAGTTGAATCAATATAATAGCATATGTGGTCAATTAACTAACAAAACCATTCGGAGAGAGGTCTAGTCCCTCCGCAAGTGAAGCAACGCCTAGAGGCACCATCTCGCTATATCCATGCTACTTCCAACGTGACCTCTAACCACGGGGATTACATCCGGGCTGCACAGCACCTGGCCTGAACTTTGCGTCACTATATGGAGAGCTTTGATTGATATTGTTTTGACCCTAAAATCTAGATTTGGGGGCGGCGGCGCAGCGAAGGAGGGCATGGGGCTTTGGCGTTCTCTCCCTAGACCCGTTTTTTCACCACATCTATGGCCCCTCGACGGAAAGAAAAAAATCGTCGCGATGTAGGGGTGTAGTTTCCTGTTCAGTTTGGGTGAACGAGGGCTTCAGCCCCTCCACA